GAGGAGCTCCGTTTCGTGGCATAAGTGAGGCCCTGATGCCAATGCTATGTCGTGCCGTGCCGATTGGCAATGGCGTCGTGGAAGGGCAACCGTACTACGGATAATAGGCGACGCCTCGGGGGCGTGGAAGAACGATAGGCCCCCATCCCATAGCTGATAGATCTTATAGTGCGACGGCCCCCTCGGATCGGCTTGCGGCAGTGACAAGGCCGATCTGTGATGCAGGAGGGCGATGGCATACCTACTTGACATACTATATGACTGACCCCCGGCTGCATAACCAGTAGCCACGTTCCATCCGGCTCGACACGCTGTATCATCATAGCAAGAGCCTTACTTGGTATTCCACATTGTTCCATACAGTTTCCCTTGAAAGGGTTGTCATAATATCCATATAAAAGTCATATTCATCACGTAGCTGTAACATTGGCATGGTAGACAAGACCCAGTACTGCGTTTCGGACGCGGGCTTCGGTCATTCACTGTTTTGACGATAAACCTTGCTAAGAGAGACGACAGCTTAGATAGCATAACAAATAAGGTGAGACAGGCGAACAAAAACGGACTGTTGCAGCTCATAGTGAAGAACTTTTCGTCAGCATTCCTAGCAATCAGCGTCTTAGAGCTGCAGGCATTGCTTGTGTAAGTATTGCTTCGTCGCTTTCACTTGCTTGCAAGACTTGGAGGCTAAATGTTAGTGCAGTGTAGTTGCGTGTAGTCTGGTGTAGTGTAGTCGAGCGTTCTCTTTTCTTTTCTTTTTTTCTTCCTGCTTGCTAGGTCAATCCTGGGAATGATTCGCATGACAGCCCGGAGATTTGGCTCGCAGGAACCGAAGCAGGTAGCTGGCTGGCTGAATTTCGTGCATATCCTTTAAATGCCTACATACAGTAGCTAGATATAACAGAATATATATGCTTGGGTAGTACCAAGTAGGTGTGCAAATAAGTTGTTATATACCGTACAGTGCCTGGTATATATATATATATATACCATCCAAGGCATATACGATCCACCGATATTTGGAACAGACAATCCAATCTGGTCCAGTGCTGCTGTGGTTGGGTAGGTCTTCATTCCTCGCCATCAGCTCATAACGAAATCATGAAACAAAACGGGCCCAATGCTGACAATGCAGGAATAGCATGAATTATGATGCTGGGCCGTTGTCTCGAATAGAAACACTAACTGCGGGCTTACCCTATTGGCTGGCTTTTTTAGGACGACGTCATTTGCTGGTCGCACCCAAACACATTATCTGTACACAACTTGGTGCAGATAAGAAAGAGACTTGCTGAGCTGTTCGCTCTTGGCACCATACTATCTGGCTTGTTCCTGGATCGGTCGGACTCGACGGATTGGTACAAAACTGCATGCGTGTGAGAGTCTAGAACCATTCAGCGTCGGGCGTCTGCTCCATGGCATCACTCTGCAGGCATCGAGAATGAGTGGTGTGTGCCGTGCTAGGTACTATCAATGGAGAGAGTAAACCTCGTCAATTCTGCAAATTGCAAATTTGCCACCTGCACTAGGTATTCATGTTGGTGTCCGGTTGAATTCCAGCCGAGAGATCAAGAGAAGCGAAGATGGTGAGAGAAAAAATTTTCATCTCTCTCGGTTGTCTGAAACAGACCATTGCTAGATAGTAGGCACGAAATATACGTCGTTCTGAATAGACAGACACCCTCTCTACACGTACGCACTAGGATACCATGGTACGCTGTATTACATATACTACCAGCTTTTATGCCGCCGAACCAGCCAGCTTCCTGTGGCAAGTTACTTTGTAGTAAACGAGTGTAACATATAAACGACTCTGGCTAGACCAACACAGCCGTAATAAAAAACTTATAAAGCTGCATAAACGTGCGATGGAAAAAAAAAAACTAAAAAAAAAACTCATTCATCGTGATGTAAGCTACGCTAAATATGCCAGCATGCATACTGTAGTTGTAGCGACTGGACGATATCACAAATTGGGGTCTGGGAGCATATGAATCTAGTACCACCGAATTGATAGGATGAGCGAGCAGAAAATTTTTTCTCCTCTGAGTTGACATTTGCTCATTTCCTCGTAGTAGTTGTCAAATACAGTATTAGGAATGCAGTCAGTGAACTAGTCGCAAGGTGCTCTTCCTCACCCAACGCCACCAAAATGGTCGCCGTCTATGGGCTTCGAGACAAACCCTCTGGAAGACTGTGATAAATAACTTCTTTTTTAAGGTATCATAGCTCGGATCAGAAATTCTGCGTCCATCGTAAAAGGCCGGGAGTTGCCCAGTTTTTAGTACTTGTCGATCACTGACTAACTAGCACGCTTAGCATCCTATTTACGGTTCTCTTAGGGACTACTATCCAGGAAGCAGGCTGTGTTTGTACACTAGACCAGGCACTTAGATAAATGAACATGTCCTGCGTCGCGTAACTGCTGACACGTATATACTAGTATATACTTATCTCCTACCTCGACGAGGCAAATCCAAGCTCCATATAAGTGATGTAGGTATACCGGTACCAGGTACGTACGGATGATCTTACTGTAGCTCAAGCTTAGGGAAAATTCTAGCTTAGTTAGCTATAATTAGTGTGTGTGTGTGTGTGTGTGTGTGTTTGCGATCTGCAACCAGCCGTCTCTCGATAACGTTCAGGAGTTGAGCAATCGTGACCGGATGCAATGCGGAGTTGGTTCCTATCGGTTAACGACCTTCTTACCTTTTACCTGTTCCTTTTCCTTTTACTCCGGGGTGGTGCCACCCCTCCACGATGGTCTGCTGTTCTGGGTTTAGTATTGCTCTAGCACCATCTCGAAAGGAAAAGGCGCTGCGACCAAGATACAGTAGTAGGTGTACTAAATGGTCTAAATAGTTCCCAACATTAGTGCCGGAAACCCCCATGGGCTGCTGCACTCGAAAGTCGATGGTGGGAGGAGGGGACACTTCGGCTGGGACCGCGGCCGGGAAGAGCTTTTCAGTCTGGGTCTGGGGGAGGAGACGACCGCCGCCCGCGGACTACGGCAGCGAGAACGCAGAGTCGTATTGTCGCACAGAGCCGTCAATTGACCACTCAAGTCGACGACTGAGCCTCCTCCATTCCCTATCTTGTGTCTTCGTCGCACTAGCGATGTTGCATCTCGTCCTGTACCTACTGTAGTGTACGTACTACCAGCCCCGGCTGGCCGTTGACAAGAACACATGAATTACTATGCACAAAAGAATAAGGGGACGTCTGTCCAACACTTTTTCGTATTCGCTCGCTAGGCGGTTTTCACTTACCATCAGATAGTTTGTAGTATCGCAATATGTGCGCAGCTCGGCTGTATTGTGCATCCGTGTTGCCTGTCCACCGTAGCATTTGGCCGATACCTAAAATATATCTCCTGTTAAGCTACTTAGCTTTGTGCAATAGCTCACCAGACGAGAAGAAAAAAAAAAATTGACGACGGGATTAATCAGTTCAGTATTACAAACAAATGCTGAGGCCATTCACACCCGCCGAGCTCGCAGTCGGGATAAGCCGCAGTCAGTCATCCATTCCGAACCATCGTGGTACGATCTTGATGTTAGATTTTCTCATCTTTTCGTAACCACCGGTCTCGGACGGATCGTCGCCACCCCGAATGTCGGCTCTGGCCGCCAGTCATATCGTTACTGAGGGAAGACAGACCCCATTTCATTTGAAACTCAAACACCACTAGATGGGACAGTGCCAAATGGAGTTTTGAGAATTCGATGCGGACCGGAGCCGTGTTAGTCATCCTTTCTTTATACACTTATGTAGTATTCTTTGTTTGCTTGCTCATGTGCTGGAAGTACCTACGCTAGTAGAGGTAGTGTCTTTGATTTGCTAGATAGTGCCATAATGGTGTGCTGGATACCAAAGTCTTGGCGATCAGACGAGCAGAGTCGTGCCATACCAGTAGGCTCAGAAAACGACGATCGGTTCAATACTGTAGGTTGGTGAGTAATACCACCAACCGATTCTACCTAGCACTGAGTTCATAGCTTGATGAGCACGGGATGTGCAATATCATCGTGGCCGGAACTATCGGTGGTCATACAAGTGACTTCGGAACAGATCGGTCGAGCAGGCCATGTCTGGGGTATCCTGGGCTGCCATATGCCGAGAACCGTGCTCTAGGGGTAGCCTGCTAAGACTTCAGAGAACTGTTGGCATCCTGTCTGTGGTGCTCCGTTCAATACCTACGACGAAGTAACACCAATCAATTTCATAGCAACTACACCCTGTACTCCATGATCTACGTCGGTGGCGAGGACCAGAAATACTTGCAATAATATTAAAATCACTCTGGTCATGTTTGGATGGGAACAAAATCTGAGGGGCTCGAATCCTAGTCAATTCAGAGTCATACTTGGTTGCGTCCGCAAGCTCTTTGCAGATCTGCTGAAGGCAGTCTCTGTCAGCAAAAGGCGATTTATCGCCCGCAATAGAACCAAGCCCCATCAATCCAGCAAAACTGGATAAGCCCTCGATAGGCTTGTCGGCCTGTCCTTTCCAACAATAATTGTAACACATAGTTAACAAGTCCTTTCCATGATAGCTCCTACTCCTAATCCTGCCAAATTGGCATGTTACAATCCGGTCCCAAACCCCAAGGTCCCAGGTATCGAGGCGCCATGCATAATAAAACAACAATGGTATCTTGGGCTTTCTCAAGATACCAAAGTAATCCGTAGTTCCTCCCGTGAGGCAGTGTCTTGCGCCAATAGTAAGGAGCAGCCCAAGACAGAATCCCGCAATAACCCAAAAACTTTTTATGATGCTGTGCTCCGGTATATGCTCTTGTACAATGAATAATGAAAATAATGTAGTGTTTCTGGCTCATCATGCTAGAGTCGTTCTCTGAATAAAATGATAAATTCGAATAAGTGGTGCGTAGGATGGTGGAAAAGTCGAGGAGCTTGTAGACCGCTTCGACATGGCAACTCAGAATCGAATCTGTGGTGATAATCTATTGAACACCATGAAGGACCTGGGCCTCGTGCTTAGCAAGATCGGCGCCGGTTTTGAGTTCGGGCGTGCTCGAAAGAGCTAGCGTAATCTCTCAGGTGCTTCTTCGTCTTGTCGGACATCGGAGAGCTCTCGCTACCCGTCGATGAAGTACTTCCCAGAGAGCATAGGCTGCTGTGCGAACTTGAGGGTGTCAGGCCAGCGCCGGATGATGACGACCCAGAGCGGGTCGAGATGTGAGATTGTGGTAGGGGCGTCGAGCCGTAAGGTTGAGCGTTGGTAAAGTCGTAGGCTGGCGGTAGGTAGAACTTTGTTTGGTTCCTCGGTACACTCCATCGATAGGATGGGCTGGCAACGCCTGGTGAACCTGTGGTTGTGTTGAGCGAAGTCGAGGAGGACTCGAAGTCCCGAAGCCTGCATGCCTCTGAGCAGTATAAAGAGCCATCTGTTTGCCTGTCGCAGTAGAGGCAGAATTCAGGTTCCCATGACGGATCAGAAGACATCTTGGAGGATGGTCTTGACGGGTTCGATAGACGGGTATATGTGGTGGTGTGTTGGTACATGTATACGGTGTGGTGGTGTTCAAAATCGCAAATTTAATACACACTTGTTGTCCCAGTCGACAATGTTAAAGCAAGCAGTGACAATGAAAATAATAGTGGTGGTGGTGGCGGTTGTTCTTGTCTTCGTCGTCGTTATGGGTGGTGTGTGTATAAGACGAGACGGCGGGACGGGGGAGAGCCGTGAACGATGTCGTTCATGAAGCAAGAGAGGATTGTGTCATGGACGTTTGAGTCGAAGCAGCGTGGAGTTGTAGGAGAAGAAGAGAGAGGAAGAGGATTATGGAGAAGAGGAGAGGCAGGAGTTTATGACTAGGCGGCAGTATTGAAGTTGGGAAGAGGTGGAGGAAACGAGGTTCATTTGTATCAAGCTCTCGCTCGCTCCCGCAGTCAATCCGGGGTGGGTAACTGAGTACCACTGACTGACTGTACCGTTGTACCTACTGTACCACCGGTGCGTCAGGGTACGTACCGTACCTCTCAGGCCAGGAAGGTGTACGTAGGTACCTCGTAGCGGGGCGCGGTCACATCAGAGAGGGTCTCAATGAGCAGAGCAGGATAAGAGCAGGGGTTGCTGGTCTGATGTCCTCGGCCCACTGTGCAATCTGGGTGGGGCGCTCAAGCGACTAGCGCCTGGCCTCTTCGACTGGGCAGAGACTGGGGGGGGTGGCAGCAGTGGGCAGTGGGTAGTGGGCAACAGTGGGCGACAGTGGGTTGAGACCGGGAGGGTGTTGCCTTGAAGGGGGGGTGGGGGGTGAGTGACCGGGGGTCGACAGGGGGCTATATCCTTGCAGTGTTTTCTGCATAGACGCTAGGCCATGTATGACTTAGCGCCCAGTGCTGCTGCCGATCACAGGCGCAGAGGCAGCACCGTGGCACAGAGAGGGCAGAACAGAGGAACACGGGGGGTGTGGTAGCAGACTGGACTCTGGTTCTGGTTCTGGTTCTTCTTCTTCTTCTTCTCTGCACCCCCCTCTCCATCCTCCTCCTCCTCCTCCTCCATCCAGCTTGTGGTGTGTCTACAACACCTGTACCTCCCTTGCTAGCAGCAGAGAAAATTCTTCCCGGAGCACTCCATGAAGGAGGGCGTGTGCCCATCAAGTAACAGGGTGTGAATGTTCAGGCAGAGGGGGGTGGGGAAAAGGATGCACAATTCGAAATCACGACACCCCCCTTTTACTATGAGCAATGTCTTCTGAGTCTTTTGAGTCTTCTGAGGCCTCAGAGTAGCAGACACTGCGAGGGCGTGTGAGGGCGTGTGAGGACGGCGTGTGATCTTCTGCACCCACATTCTGCCCTGCACGCCATGTAGTCCAAACCTCCCTCTCACTTACATAGTAATAGTGTAGTCCATTTTTACACTGCTGCCTCTTTCTGTTTTCTACTGATACTGCTGCTGTACATATTAATTACTACCTACCGTAGGTAGTATTGTGCTAGTAGGGAGGTACCTAGTGCTGCCTACTAAGTAGATAGATAGTAGTGTATGTGTATGCGTCTCTTCTGCTGTCACCTTTGCATTGTGCACCTTTGTTTTTTCTTCTAACCTTTTTCTTAGTTTTTTCTAAACCCCTTTCAAGTTCTCTCCCCTTTACATGTATTTCTTAATTGTGATGCCTGGCATGAGACTAGAAACACTGCTTCAGTTGCATTAGTGACTTACTGTATATACAGATGCTTGCTTACATCAGTACACACATATCGTGATATCACTATTACTACCGCTGTCCGTTGTACCTCCTCTCTATCTTTCAAGTTTCTCTGATTGTTCAATGTTATTCAAAGCTCGCTTCATAATTGATACCTAGCTTTTCTCTCTACATATAATACCATTCTCGGCGGTAGCACTGTCAAGTATCGGTGCAGATACCGTAGGACTTGGTGCTTAGATATATTAAGTAATTCATGTCTTACTGCCTTCAAACGGTATGACATGGTGTCATTACTTCTGAGATCACTCTGTATTGAAGTCAAATTGCCGGTAATCTGAATAGCCCTCCCGGGACAACGCTCAGAGCAGAGCTGGCGTGTGTTTACTAATTCCACGTCCTCCTCATCAAGTCTACCATAAACGTACAGGCTTCTGTGTACATATCTTCTTCTCTGGCCTCAACGCTAGATTGTAGGTAGCATCCATCCCCCATCTACCTACATCACCACCAATTCTGCCTATGCTTCTCAGTCTGCATCCCTTGATTCACACTACATAGTATATACTACCATCAACCCTGCTACCTACTGTATGTCCCTTTCGTCCGTAACGACCACGCAAGCCAAGTATGAAAAATGCAATACTATGGTACTATGACATAGGGTGGACCCGTGGGGGTTCACAACATTGGCATTGCATCCATTCACGACTCCAACGGCCCCGGGGCTCTCTCATGATTGAGCCTTCGTCTCTTAGCTGCTGCTGAAGCCACGCAACAAAAAAAAAAAAAAAAAAAACAGCAGAGTTTACAGTACCACGGTCCACGTCGACTAGGTATCCCACATAGCGAGCTTGACAAACTAAACTAGGCAATCAGGTTATCAGATTTCATACCTACAGAGTACTGAGTGCCCAAAGTAGGGCGGAGTGCACCAATACCTAGATAGCTTGGGCCCGTCAGCCAAGATGGCGCCAGTATGGGCAGATCGCAAGAACGCATCCTGCGGCCTCAACACCATCAAGCACGCTTCGGGTTACAGCAATGGGACTCTACTATGTATGCTTGTTCTGTAGTATCCTCCTGGCGTCTTCTCAGGCATGCAATCTGCACACACTATCGTGCCACACTCTTAAAACCCTTTCCACTAAGCAATATCAGACCTTCTAGCGTCCGGGGGAGCGAGTACTGCTCCCGACCCTCCCATTGGCTATCTCAATGCATCCAGAGTTGATGGCAATCTATGAATTCGTCCAACGTGGTATCGCAATTACGTCCTGAACGCCCCTCGAGGCCAATCACGTCCACCCTCTCTATACTGTTCTAAGCCGAAGCGTTCATCACGACTACCCGTTACAGCCCCTCCATATATGTAGGTAGGTATGCTCATTCTCCTATTGTAGGCTAGAATCATCTCTGGGACACACCAGCGCAGGCAAGCAGACGGCGGCGAAACTAGAACCAACCGAGGTTCTTCTGGGATTACCACCATCACGTTCTGACCACGGCGGCGTCTTCTTCTCTGCTCAGCGTTCTGGGTCCAAATGCGCCTTCATATTACCAAGTCTAGTGGCAACTGTAACTGCTACTGTGGTAACCAGTTCTGACTTGGTTACTTGGTCATAACATCGAACGTAAACTAAGTACTGTAGCTAACTTCGACCACATACCCGCCCTGGCCGTGTACCTTACATCGGTCGTCTTTTCTTGCCCCGGAAGGAGATGGGGGAAAATTGTAATGGAGGGTACCCTTTATCACCTCTCGTCTCCAGTTGCACTCAATTATGAACCAATCATAGCGGCAAGGGTACGCAACCCCCATACCTACTGAGTATCATCGTCTAGCTTCAAGACACATGGAGCATACCTACTTAGTACTTACCTACATGTACGCCTAGGTAGGTATCTTGTCAACAAGTCATGGTAGGTAGGTATGCAGCAGGCTTGGCCGCACCAATGAAGAGTAGGCACGCCGAGAAGCTACCATCAACGTATAATCAATGTATATTCTGTTGTATATTTTGGATGTTGGCAATGACGATCTAGCGCATGCAGTGCCTACTATGGATGTATACATAGGTAGGTAGGTGGTGAGCCGAGACGGCCACGGAAGATGCCGCCGCCATAACAGTACTTACATGGTTCCCGTATGGACGTATGGACGCCGACGCCAACATGTCGATGTCCTCTCCCATTAGGATGTTTGCACAAGCACGCAATAAGTACCCAAGAGTTTCGCAGTAGGTATTTCATGTTCCATTCTCCGTCAATCTCGGCCACTTTGACGCATCAAGGCTAACTGCAGACCCAGATCCTGTAACCACCAAGGGACCACGGGCGAATCGACAGAAGGCGGGCGATTTGCGCAGCCGTGGCTCGCGATACCTGCCAAGTGCAGGAAGCTAGGCCGCATTCAAAATCACTTGCATGAAGAAAGGCGGGGGATTCATGCGGGCGCCGCAGGTGCTGAAGCCCCCTTGGCCGTCATTGTTCCATTCGCAAAGTAGCAGACATGAACACGCAGTGCTTCTCCCTCACAAGTCGTCGCGACCTGCCTGCAGGGTTGCCACCTGATGCATCATCGTGAGTCCTGCCTGCACCGTCTTACGGCGAACGAGGTCGGGGTTTTGGACGGGGTTTCGGCCGGCTCACATCCCACTCGTGAGACATACATACAAGTATGCATCTACAAAAGTGGTGGCGAACGTCGACTGCAGCATCATGTTCCTTTGAGCTCCCTGTCCAACCGATATATTGCCAACTAGATTGTCGTCAAATGCCGTAATGAGAAGATCTGAGGCGAGCGATTTTAGATCATTACAGCCTGCAGTATACTGCTTGTTAGTAGAGCATCACCTGTACAAAGCTTTAGTAAACGCAATCAACGCGAGGCTATCACTTCACTTCATTACTGATAGCCATACTAGATAGTACGACAACCAAACAATCACCCACCTAATATATATATTCACTGTCAGAGGATCTGGTATTTCTTCGCAGGGCAATTCTGAAGTGAGCGTGCCAGTTATTCTTCACAAGTTCCCCGCACCCTTCGCCGTTAACCTCATGCGACAACACGAAAGTAGCATCACAAATCTACAGCATGAGACTGGCAGAAAACCGCACGCCTCCTCTCCTGACGTGCCATAGCCCAGACGCATGTCACTACTGTATGTAAGCAGAGCATTACGACCCCAGAGACCATTGATGCACATTGTACCGCATCACACTACTTAGACCGGCGCACTAGGATGTGGCGGATTATCTACATATAGTAAAAGAATGGCAATATCA